GATTCTAAAGATGTGAGAGTCATCAAATTATAACTCTCGTCAGTTATAGTGAAAGTCGTCAGATTGTAACTTTTATCGTCAGTGTTTTGTAAGGATCATCTATCCCATTTTGATTGAAGAGAGATGGAAACTCCTAAGATCTGCAAAGATCAGTTCTAAGCACCGCCTGCTCGCTACGGTTTCAAGAAGCTGCTCACTCGCTAGTGGTTTCAAGAAGCTCTCTAGGGTCCCCCCCAAAGAAACTTTCTCTTTTAGCAAAATTCTCAGCTATTTATAAAGATCTAGGGGTGTAACTTGAAAGCACCCTAATGTCACTAGGAAAGAACCCTAGAGGGGGGTGAATAGGGTTTATGCTAATCTAATCCGATTTAATGCCAAATAAAACTAATTAAAAATATCCTAGCAAATTAGTTATGCAATAAGATATATATATGCAATGATAATCAATATAAACAAGGGTGATACAAGATAAACAAATACAAACGATATAGTGGATGAATTAGACAACTGAGAATGGTGATAGAGATAAACAAGATATAAGCGCACAAGCCAAACTCAAACACATAAGAAATGATCACGGAGTTCGAACCTTCCGTCCTACGTCTCCGCTCCCCACTCCTGGGGAGAAATCCACTATCACATCGGGTTTTCGACGCTCACCCGAAAACATTTACACATCACACTCGGTTTTTTAGCTCACCGAAAACTTTACAATCAACACTCTTGCAATCTCACTCTACACCCTCTAAGTATTGGTCTCTAGCCCATGTCTCTCTCAAGTATTAAAAATTACAACCTACCTCTAGGCATTACCTCCTACCCCACTCCTCTTAGGACGATCCCGTCTCTCACCACACACTTCTCTCGGTGTGCAAGTATATTACAAAGTGATCTCACAATTAAGCATAAATATAACAATGGTTGTTCTCTACTATGGATGAGAACACAATGAAAGCTCACACCCTAAGTCACAAACCCACAACCCCAAATTATACTATGAATGTAAATACAATAAGCTCAATAGGTTGTGTGTGAATAAAGAGTATAATCAAAACAAACTAAACTCAAATAAATATTCTAGCTTATGGAAATTATGAACAAAACAATAAATAGCTAGAAATAGAGTTTAAAAAAATTCTCTATAGATAACAAGAGGGAGAGAGAGAAGAGTTGAATCTCAAACACAAATGGAGATCTCCTCTAGCTCTTGTGAAAATTGCTTCACAAAACCAAACTTGAAATAAACACTAAAACAAACTTAAACACCCTTTTAATCTTGTTTAAAAAACTTTCTTCTTCTTAAATGAACTAAGGATTTATGGGAGTATTTATAGGAAACTCCAAAGCCAAGAAGAAACCAACAAAACTTAGCAAAAAGACAAAAAATAGAAAGCTTGAAAAAACTAGCCGTTGGACCATCAGTCGACTGATGAGTTTTATCAGTTGATTGATGAGCTGACCATTGTAGGTATTTTCCAGCTCATTAGTCGACTGACGACCTTATCAGTCGACTGATGACTTCATCAGTCAACTGGTTAATCGACCAACATAAAAACAGAAACTTTTTGACATTTCAGGCTATTTCTTCAGTCGACTGAACACATTCATCAGTCGACTGATAACATATTATCAGCCTGTTGAAAACAGTAAAACTAAACTTTGAAGTACTTTTAAAAATAACAAATAAATTCAAAAATATATAAAACTTCGGGAAATGATTGTAAACATAATAATACACATGTTGTAAAGTATCATTTGTAAAGTATCATCATTTTTTAAAATAGTCCAAAACATAAAAATGTGATATACATGAATTTTGATGTTTTGTCACAAACCAAGTTTTGAAACTTTACAAAATGATTTTATAGACTTAATAAAAGATGTTTATTATGATTGTTAAGTCTATAAACTAGAATACACTTATTTTCCCACAACCACACACACACACACACACACACACACACACACACACACACACATATATATATATATAGATATATATATATATATATATATAATATATAATAATATATATATATATATATATATAATATATTATATATATAATATATATATATATATATATATATATAAATATATACTATATATATATAAATATATATAATATATATATTATATACGTTTGTTATTTGTTTTCATGTATATGTGACAAACTCATTGTTTATTCAAAACCAAACATGATAAATATGAAGTATGTATGAATGTATCATAAATAAAGTATTTTTTCATATTTTAAATCTTGCAAAATTCTAAACAAAACTCTGTATCTATAACTTGATTTATATATATATATATATATATATATATATATATATATATATATATATTATATAATAATAATATTATATATATATATATATATATATATATATATAATATATATATATATATATATATATATATATATATATATATATATATATATATATATATATATATATATAAAACCAAAATGTGTATGTGTGTATATAATTGAGCTTGAAGTATTTAACATACATAATATAAAACCTAAACTAATATACCAAGCGATGATCTTGATCTTCAGTAAGCTCTTCTTGGTAAACTTGCGGATGAAACTAGAACTTGGATTTTTAACTTGAATTGCAAGGCTTCATACTGATATTCTGCCAACCTCTATTGGATATGATCATTGAAGCGTTGTTCCATCCAACCTCTAACATATTGTTTGTCTACAATAAATAAAAAAACACAAACACTCACTAGTAGAAAACTGAGTATTGGCGACGGGGTATTGGCGACGGATTTCAAATCCGTCGCCAATACAAACATTGGCGACGGAACATTGGAGATGGGGTTTGTTCTGTTGCCAATGTTTGTATTGGCGACGGATTTCAATCCGTCGCCAATGATTTTCCATCGCCAATACTCTTGGGCGACGAAAAAACATTGGCAACGGAAAAATCCGTCGCCAATACTTATTGGCGACGGATCAGATCCGTCACCAATAAATATTGGTGACGGATTCAATCCGTCGCCAATGTTCCGTCGCTAATAAGTATTGGTGATGGAACATTGGCGACAGATCGATTCCGTCGCCAATAGATATTAGCGATAGATCTGATCCGTCGCCAATGTTCCGTCGCCAATACTTATTAGCGACGGATAGTGTTCGTCGCCAACACTCATTAGCGATGAAATAGATCCATCGCTAATAAGTATTGGTGACGGAACATTGGCGACGAATCGAATCCGTCGCCAATACTTATTGGCGACGGATCAAATCCGTTATTGGCGACGGATTCGATTCTTTGCCAATGAATATTGGTGACGGATTTGACCCGTCGCTAATACTTATTGGCTACAGATTCGGTCCGTCATCAATGCTAATGTATCCATCGTAAAAAAATTAACATTAGTGATTGATTATCCCATTGTTAATGAGTGGCCCCATAAAAAATTAAGAATTATTTTACTATTAGTACCTCAAATCTATAATATTTTAAATGTAGTCCACCAAATTATGTAAATTGTTAAACACATCTAGGAATTGTTAAACACATCATATATTTAGTATAAACTTTAATACTCAAAAATTTAATTTTTTAGCGGAATAGATATACTTTGATATTCGATAAGTATTCGTGAGTTTTTTGGCGACGACTTTGATTAGTTTAGAGAAAATATTGTGAAAAGTGAAAATAATGAGAAAATGGTGAGATACCTAGGAGATCATTTTTAGTTATATGTGTCATGAACATGTAACCATATTAATATTGTTAATGATATACCAGAACTTATCATAGCCATTTTTAATTAATTAGGAATATGATATATATTGGAGAAAAAAATAAGTTTTTAATGGATTTGGGGTTCTATGTTAGTTTTAAATTTTGTTTTTTACTCTTTATGCTAGCAGATTCGATGATTTGAAAATTGTCACGCTCCGAAACTATAGTGAATATTCATAAACACGGGTTACGAGACAACATCAACCCTTGCACAAGCCAAGTCCCGTATATATATATATATATATATAGAGAGAGAGAGAGAGAGATTAATGAGTATCCTTATCATAGGAGGAGATTTTCCTCCTTGTCGTCTATATGGCACAATCCCCATCATTCTCATAAAGTAGGCACAAATCCCCACCAACTCACACACTCTCTCTTACTTAATGAGAATGATGGGGATTGTGCCACATAGGCGCCAAGAAGGAAATCCCCTCCTATGACAAGAATACCCATTAATCTCATAAATATATATATATATATATACAATAAAACATATTATTGCCACATTTTATCTCAAAGCATTGTAGAATCGTGGTAAAATATTCCAAAATCAAACTCTCTTTGAAAACAAGCAATTAAGTTCCCACAATCAAACATGTTCATCATTAGGTATAAATATAAATTTGTTTAAATAAATTGTGTTTGTGGTATAAATATTCATATTTCGCATTTATAATTTTATTTTTTTACGTGAAGGAATGTCCTCACGGCCTTCTTGTAGTCCATTATCTCTACATGGATCCTCACCCGTTGAATGTATTAATTTTAAATTTCATTAAGTTACTTGAGGAACTTATTTACTTATATTGTTTTTATTAACATATACTAAAAAATTACTTTATTTTGAAGGATAAATGTTAAAAAAATTACTTTTTTTCATTTCCCGCCTCCTTTTTCATTTCCCCGCTTCTGTTTTCATTTTGCTTCTGTTTTCATTTCCCTGCTCCCTCTAAAAACCCCCAAAACGGGCCAAACCCCCCCTCTCTCTCTCTCCAAACCCCCAAATCTCTCCAGAACGATCGCCAACAACTCCTCTCGCTGAAGAAACCTCCAGCACACGCGCTGCACCCGCAGCGTCTCCACGCAGCACCCCCGTCTCTCACCTCCCAACTCTACCAAAACCCTTGGCGGCTCCTTCGAAAAAAATAGGCCACCACCGAGTATTCCTTCTCTCAAAACCCTATTTTCCCCCTATTTTTTTGTTCATTATTTAGTTTTTTTAGAAGAAAGTTATGATCTGAACTTTTGTTTGCAGTTTTGTTGATTTATGAGGCTTGTGATTACTTATTTCGCTGGCTAAACGCAAAGAATCGAAATAAACATACATCATTTTTTATGGATCGCTTGGTATTTTGTTAGTGTTGAATCTTATAATCATGGCCCTGTAATTTTGGTGGATAGAGCACGGATAGTTACATTATTTTGGTGGATAATCATGGCCCTGTAATTATAGTGTTGCAATGGGAGAGGTAGGCCAAATTACCAGATTGGTAATTAATTCGATTCTATTTTCTAATATAGTATTTATTTCTATATATTTGCAGCGGAGGAGGGTGGTGAACATCTGGAGGCGGCGACCGGAGGAGAGTTTCACGGGGAGCATTGATAATTGGGTCTGGTCACTCGCGGTGTGATTTGTGAGAATTTCACGGGGAGCAAATGAGGGGTTCAAATTTTCTTTGATGAATGAGGGGTTGGGATTTCAACAAGTTATTCAGGTTTGGTTTATTCAAAAAATATTTAACAACTATCATTATATTTCCCTTTTTCTATAATTATTTTGAACGTATATTGTAGCAGTATCAAGGTTTTCAAACAAATCAACCAGGTGACTATACATTTCCAGTACTAAAGCGTCCTCCTTACTATAGTATGATGCAAGCAAATTGACAATTTTATTTTCCTCATCCATTTTCGGTATGATCATAAATTAACTTGTTCTTATAGCGATTTATTGACATCTCAAATTAGGTATCAATTCTCATCAAATAGGCAATATATATACTTGAATGTGTAGATACAGGAGGATCAAGTCCAAAGAGCTCAGAGTCATGCAAATAAGTAGAAGTGCATGTATAGCATTAACAAAGGAATTTTTTTTGCTTATATTCTCTCTTTGCAGATTTGATGAAATTTATTGAATCTTTTTGGACTAGTTAATCCATAACATGTTCTTATACATGTTTTTATTTATTTATTTATATTTGTAGAAGTTTGCAACGTGGAGAGTTAAACATGCTCCGAGTTGTCGAAAATGAAAAGCTTGTTCAAAATCAAATGGAGAGTCCTCATTTTGTTTGCGTGGTTCGATATTTGCACACATGTATTTCTAATTAGAATTTCTAATTTATGATATTTTTTGGTGTTTGACGAGCATGAAGTTCATGGTGGTGGAGAGGTATATATGACGTGACATATATGTATTTATTATGATATTTTTGGTATATATCTTATGTGGAGTGATAATCTTTTCAGGTTAGAGGAGGTACTCTCGTAGGGAGCAGCAGTACGATACGACGTTCTAATACAGACGATGTTGTAACAAGGATGTCGACAACGATGATGACGGGGAGTGAGTGAGACTTGTGTTAAGACATATTATGACTTTTAAATTTTACCTATATGTAATATATTTGTGTGGCGACGGGAAAATCCCGTCGCCAATAAACATTGGCGACGGAGTGATCCGTCGCCAATGTTTACACATCGGCGACGGGTTACCTGTCGCCAATAAACATTGGCGACGGGAAAATCCGTCGCCAATGTTTTAAACATTAGCGACGGGGATCTACCCATCGCCAATGTTTTAAGCATTGGCGACGGATTTTCCGTTGCCAATAAGCATTGGCGACGGGGAAATCCGTCACCAATGCTTAAAATATTGGCGACGGGTAAACCCCCGTCGCTAATGTTTTAGGCATTGGCGATGAATTTCCCCGTTGCCAATGTGCATTGGCGACGAGAGAATCTGTCGCCAATGTTTAAACATTGGCGACGGATTTACCCGTCGCCAATGTTTATTGGCGACGGAAACAACCCGTCGCCAAAGAAATCCGTCACCAATAGTCGTCCGTCGCCAATAAGTATTGGCGACGGGGAAACCCGTCACCAATACTTATTGGCGACGGATTTATTGGCGATGGATCCATTTTCGTCACCAATATGTATTGGTGACGGATTTTGGGGTATTGGTGACGGATTTCCCCGTCGCCAATGCCCTGTTTTCTACTAGTGACTAGACAAATAATATTAGTAGTAAATTATTTGTTAAAACATCATCAAAATAAAAAGACCCAACATAACTGACCCCATAAATCTCTCCATAATGGGGTTTAATGGCCCTCATTAGGTGGAAAACAATTTTGAACTATTCAAATTGTAATTGAACCGGTCAAACATGAGATTTGCATTCTGGAACGAGCCTCACGTTCAGCTTTGTGAAACGCGGAGGTGATCCTTATGTTTTGGAGCTACAACTTGGAGGTGATCCTCGCATTTTGGAGTTAGAACGCGGAGGTGATCCTCGCATTTTAGAGTTAAAACGTGGTGGTGACCCTCGCATTTTGGAGTTGGAACGCGGGGGTCGACCCTCTGGTTTTGGAGTTGGAACGTGGGGGTGGACCTTCGTGTTTTGCTTTTGAAGAGATCGTTAATTATAATCTCTTTTTCAAGTTCTGTAAAGATATTCATCTTGTAATATTTGCATTTGGCTTTTTGAAGTGTGAGAGTCGTTAATTTATAACTCTCATCACTAATAAACACAAGGGTGATTGAAATCATGATGATCAAGCTGTAGTAATTTTTTGACAGTTTACAGAACCCCCTCCAATTTTTTTTGAAAGTTTGCGGTTGACTTGAATGAATTTTTAAAATACTTTGGATATTTTCTTTGTCAGATTCCGAGAAAGTATTGCCCCTTATTGCTTTGATCGTTAAGCAATTTGATACGCAAGATCTACATTTTATCTTCAAAGACGCGAAGGTCGAGTTTAACTGTTAGAGGTGTAATGTTAACATAATAGCTATTTTATGAACTAATCATCCTATTGAGGATGATTGATAAGTTAATTTTGTTTGATCATATGTTGGAGATGTGTAGAGATTTTGACTATCAGAGGTGTATTGTTAACTTGATAGTGTTGTGTTATGATTTGAGCAACTTTGTGGACATATCATCTTATTAGGGAAGATTAATAAGCTGATTTGGTTTGGAAAAGCTTGCTATATCAAGAATGAGACAAGCTGAATTCGAACTCCGTGGGGATGTTAATCGTCAGAAGTGTAATGTTAACTCAACGATATTTTGGCTAGGGATGGTTTTGTGAGTTTTGTCGTTGGCAAAGGCATTTCGTTAAGCATGTCAACCTTTGTTGTCTTATAATGTTGTTGGATAAGAATGATAAGTTGATTTTGGTGGTGATGCACGTTGAAATGCTTATATTGTTAGAGGTGTATTGTTAACTTGACAATATTAACTTACTTTCTTTCGAAGAAGATTGATAAGTCAAATTACTTATTGGGGAGATTTTCATTATCAGAGGTGTATTGTTAACCTGATAATTTTGAGAATTCGTTATTCTGTTTGAGAAATAACAAATAATGAACCCCCAGTTTTGCGCGAGTTTAATTTCTCTTTTTAGACTTAGCAGGGGAGGGAAAAGGGGGTCTCATGATTTTTATGAGTAATATTTCTTGATAAATTTCCCGTTAATTAGCATTATGAGCCTATCGCCTTTCTAATTAATAAGAGGATAAGCTCCATTCGAGTAGACTAACTCTACTACGAAGGGTCCTTTCTTTTTGGGATTGAATTTCCCTTTTGTCTAGTGCGTCATGACCATTGGTCGTCTGACTGCTAAGACAAGATCGTCTTTCTTGAAGATCCTTTCTTTAACCTTTTTGTTGTAGGCTTTTGAGATTCAAGCTTGGTATAACTCGATCTGTTGTTGGGCTTGAAACTGCTTATCATCTAACGCTTCCAGTTCTTGAAGGCATAGTTGATGTTGTTATTCATCAGTCATCCCGGTTGCAAGAGCAACTCTTAGGGATGGGATCTGAATTTCTAATGGTAATACGACTTCACATCCATAAACCAAAGAGAAGGGAGTAGCTTTTGTCAGGGTTCTTACCGTTGTGCGATAAGCTCATAGACATTCGCCAAGTTTTTCGTCCCAGACACATCGACTTTTAGAGACAAACTTTTAGAGAAGCTTCATAATGGTTTTATTGAAAGATTTTGCAAGGCCATCCATTAGCTGGCAGATAATATGCCGTTGATATGATACTTTGGATTCTAAACTTGTTACAGAATCTCTAGAAATCGTGGCCGACGAATTGAGTTCCATTGTCGTGAACTATTAGTCTTGGTACACCAAAGCGGTAGATAACATGATGTTTAATGAATTTAATCACGTTTGAAGTATTGACTTCTTTCAAAGGACTTATTTCTGCCTACTTGGAGAAGTAATCGGTTACTGCCAAGATAAACCGACATCCTTTGAATGTTGGTGGAGAGATGGGTCTAACAATATCCATTCCCTACATCTCAAATGGCCAAGACGGTGATGTCGTATGCAGATTCCTTAGTGCTTGATGGATGAAGTCACCATGGATTTGGCATGCATGACATTGTTTGGCATAATCAATGGCATCTGCCATCATTTTTGGCCAAAAATAGCCAAGTATTTATAGTCGGTCCCCTGATGATCTCCACACATTTCATCATGAGCTTCTATGAGAGCTTCTTGCGCTTCTTTTCTGGAAAGGTAGCGAAGCAAAACTCCATCATGCGACGTTTGAGAAGCTGCATTGTATTAGAATCGAAGGGCTTTTCGTTTAACAATAGCCGCTTCTTCGGGATCATCGGATAGTATGCCATATAAATATAGTCGATGAACTAGAATTGCCAATCCCTTGGTTCGAGATCTGTGAAAGTTTCGCAGAAGATCTCTGTTGTTGCCTCTTCTGTATAGTCTTCTAGAGGGAACTTGGGGTGATATAAGTCACGACTTGCGACGGATATTTTTACACCTGCTTTCGGTGGTAATGTTGCCAACGAAGCTAAAATGTTTGCATACGCGCTTTGTTGTCATGAAACATATCCGGTAAAGAAGCCTTCAAACTTTTGGACTAACTTTAACCCTGTAAAGTGGTAAGGTACTAAGTCTTCATTATGCACTTCATATGCTCCTCAAACCTTATTTACGATGAGTTGAGAATCACCGTAAGCCTCAAGGTGTCGAATATAGATTTTCTCGGCCAATTGCATTCCTAGTAGCAAGGTATTGTACTCTGCTACATTATTGGTGCATGGCTCGATTAAGGAGAATCCTTTTGGAATTATGAATCCAGTTGGGGATACAAGTACAACCCCTACTCCGTCTTAGAGGAACCTGGTACCAAATGGTTAGCTAAAAATCTGTCAGGGCTTGTCCTTTAATAGCCTTTTGAGGTATAAATCGCATCTCATACAATGATAACAGTATGGCCCATTTTGTAAGACGACAGTTCAATGCAGACGGTCTCGTCATGAGCACCCTCAAGGGATTTACCCTGGATATGATATGGATTAGTTGTCCGACTAGGCAGTGTCGTATTTTCTGGATGGTGAACACTAAGGCTAGACATTCTTTCTTTTAGCTTTTCCTGTCACACTTGTCCACTACTGGTTGTCAAGTAGATTGGGATGGACCCACATTATATCTCCTTTCAGAGTAGCAAGGGGTACCAATCCTTTATCTTTATGACCATGCGGGTTAGTGTTTATCAGGTGTAGCTCCCCTTTAGGGATCGGGATCACATCGATTGGAGCTTGAATGGGTGGAAAACTCCCGAGTTGGATTGAC